AGTAAATACGGTATGTCACGTGATATTGATTAATTGGGGCACATCGCAACATTGGCAAAGTGGCTTTGGGAGAGGTTAGACCCTCCGACGAATGGAAGGTAGCAAAGAAAAGCGTGAAACTAAATATTTTTGTGTTTCGATCATCAAACGCATGCAAGTCGACTATTACCATAACTACTCGAATCTAACACGCACCTTTTTTCCAGTTAAACGAGTTCATAAATCGTATGCGCGTTAGAATAGAGTACGAAAAAAAAAATGAATCCGGTCATTCCATTGCCATCGGCATTTTCAAAATGGCCGCCCCCTACGTGCGTCGACATGGGGCGGCGGCCATTTCTGCCTATGTGTTTTCCATGTGCGGCACTTCGTACGTGTACTGAGGAGTTCGTCATCTTGTAGAGCATTAGCATCGACGGCATGGAAGGGCCGACTCCAAAAACTCGAGTGCACCACGATGCCGCTTTTAAAAGAAAAGTCATTGCGTATGCAGAAACGAACAGAAACGTTTAGAGTTCCGGAAAGGTGCGTGCGGGACTGGCGGAAACAAAAGCAGAAGATTGTCGACAGCAAAGCTTCATGCAAAGGCTTCAGTGGACCACAGTAGGGTCGGTTTCCGCAAATTGAAGAGCTGCTCGGCGAGTATGTGCTTGAGCAGCGAGCGGCCCGTGACGACAGAACTGCTCCAAGTGCGGGCTATGCAGTTAGCCTTAGAAAAAGGGCTAATGCGGAGCCAGTTGAAAGCGAGCAGGTGCTGGCTAACTAACTTTATGAAGAGGAAAGGCTTTTCCCTCCGAAAACGAACGGCATATGCGAAAAGTTTCTGAAGGAGTACGATGAAAAGCTTCATTCCAAGTTTGGTCCTAAACTTGCGGCACAACAACGGCTACCTGCTTGGGCAGATCGGGAATGCCCATCAGACGCCTCTTTACTTCGACATGCCTGGCATCACCACCGTCGAGAAGAAGGGGGCGAAGCAAGCTCGCGTGCTGACATCGATCCACGGTAAAACTACAGTGACGGCAATGCTCTGTTACACGTCAGATGGGCACAAGCTTCTGCCGTACCTCATATTTAAATATTGTCACGGGGTCGTGATGTGGCCGAAGACAGGAGACTTTGTGTTGGAATTTAACTGTTTATTAGGGCGAACCTGTGCCCGGTAAGCGGAAAATCCGATTACAGTAGCAGTCTTAGACTGATAGCGGCGAACGGAGCGTCGGCCGTCGATCAACTACTCACAAGCGGCGAAGTACGTGGGCTCTTGCCATCGAATGTTCTGGTGTTATCGCTGGTGGTGGCGTAGGTTCTAGAATAATCTGTAAAGTTCGCAGAGTGGGAATGATCTTATCGAAATGATCTGCTAAAGTCCGGAAGCTTCTCGAAAACTGCAGGCGCAGTTCGCGCTGAGAATTGTGTAGTGTTTTGGGGCGATAACAAAACCTGAGAAATAGAATGTGGCAATATGGAAGACGCTCCCGAAAGGAGTCAATTTTTCGAGTGGTGTGATCGTGCGGGCCAACGAGAAAAATGGGTGCGCGTTGCAATCGATGTCTTATTATTATTATTTTTTAATTTTTTTTCGTCGTGGAAACCGGGTGCGCGTTAGAATCGAGGGCGCGGTAGAATCGAGTAAATACGGTACCACGCCAGTTCGAAAAATTCTCATGGCCAAGTGTTGGTTGTAGACTTAGGCACAATTGTCACACCACAAGTGAATTTAGATCTCTGGGTAGTTTAGAGTTCGTTTTAAGGGGTGATGAGTAAAAATTGCAAGTTTTTTCCAAAATTACGTTTTTTCATTTTTATTAGCTCTGACAAGTTTAGTTTCTCTATTTTTACGACAAAAAAAAAACTGAAGATTGTCATTAAAGTTGGAAGTAGATTAAAAGTGCTCATTGTCTAGAGTCTTCCGGAAATTGTCACCTTGCTACTTGCCATTGTGTTTTGCACGAGGGGTTTACTAAAGCCACATGCTCAAAATAATCATGATTGCCAAGCTCTCATGATGGAAGAAATGTTTGCCACATAGATAAGTTATATTTGCCCCATAGATGAGCTTTCACTTACACCTTTAAAATGCATTTTTTTCAAGATCTGTTTTGGACATCATGATTTTGGTACATTTGGTAGCCGAATTGGGATGAAATTTTGCCCACATATTCCTTAATATCTGGCCTCGTCACAGTGGTCTAGTGGCTAAGGTACTTGGCTGCTGACCCGCAGGTCGCGGGTTCAAATCCCAGCGGCGACAGCTGCATTTTTGATGGATCCGAAAATGCTGTAGGCCCATGTGCTCAAATTTGGGTGCATGATAATGAACCCCAGGTGTTCAATTTCCGGAGCCCTCCACTACGGGGTCTCTTATAATCATATGGTGGTTTTCGGATGTTAAACCCCAGATATCAATCATTCCTTAACATTTGAAGGGTTCAAGCATTTCCGTTAAGACTTTATAACGCCTGTACAATTATTATGGACCTAAAATAAGCAATTTGTATGGGCTAAGGATTCTAAGAATTTTCACATTACAATGTTTTATATGCACTTTCTTGATAGCTATTTGCATTCTACAGTTGAAGCAATATCAGACACTAATGGCTAATAACGATAAAATTTTAGTGGCATAAAAAGTTTGTCCGAAACAAACTATACTTTACACATTGTCATGGAGCAAAATGAAAACTGTGCAACTTACTATAAAACTAATTGCATATTTGAAATCGGCTTAAAAGCCTTTATATATATATAAAGCAAAAAAGTCATTGCCTTAGGCTATAGATGAACGCAACTTTTTCTGAATCTCATCTCCCCTTAACTTTTTCGCTACCGTGCCTATTGAAATAGTTCAATTTGATGCAGTTCGAGCGTCCAATGATGCATTTTCAATTTTAAATTCTCGCGCTCGTGGAGTTTACAGGTTCCTAATGCCATCTATGTAAGAAACTGGGAAACACACAACGAGATCCGTTATGTTTTGTTTGTTTTTTTTGCTTTAGGGAAATTTTTCTCTCGCCTCGAAAAGTTTCGGGTAGCTTCATGTGTCCCTCAATCATGGCGTCGTTTTTCCGTGGAGATGGTTCTAAAAGGTGACACGTTTCTCACGAATCGAGCACATCAACAGCAGATTTTTAGAATGGAATCAGCCGCAGTGAGTATGGAAAAGATGTTGACACAACGTACTTCAGCTAAGTCAAGTCAAGCCCCGAAATTCAGCGAGTGCCGTCTGTATGTGGGGAGCACATTTTGTTGTCTAATTAGTAGTTACTGGCGGCGGAGTGTATACTCACAGCCGTTTTACTCAGGACACGATTCTTGGCCAGCATCTGTCAAGCGTGTGCAGTGTCTTTCGGGATTAAACCCGGAGGTCAAAGTCGGAGGCGCTCTCCAGAGTAACTCACGGCGCTTCTTCTGGGCCGTCGATTTCATCCAGCTATTTTTGACTGTACAGCTGACCAGCATGATCTGCGACTACACCAACAAATAAGCATGGATACATGTTTTAGAGAGGCAGACATACGCGGAAAGGGGCGGTTCGTGGAGAAACTTCACTCCCGATGAAGTGCATTGGAATCCTCATTTACATGAAAATCGTTGAGTTACCTCACCTTCATCTCTACTGGAATACCTCAGAGTTATTTTCAGGCCCGATTTCTTCTAATATTATGCGCAAAAGCCATTTTTGTTCGTTCTTTGCCTTTTTAAGTGTAACGGACTCGGAGCAGACTGACGCCGTCTGCGACAGCAAGCTGCATAGGATAACCCTTCTACAACAGCACCCCCACTAACTTTTTTTTGTGAAAAGATCAGTTTTTGGCAATAATTTTTTAAACTTGTACAACCTGTTTGCAACATAAGAAGCTCTAAATTACATATTTTGAATTATTTTTAACCTTATTATTTTTTAAGTTCTCCATTTTACAGTGTAATTATGTAATCACTGGAGAAATTTTTCATTTTAAACATTTTTACTTAATGTGTAATAAATATATTTAAATAACACGGTTCAGCTGACGCTTCATTCAAGCAACAGCAAGATGGCGCCGATGACGAAGAGAGACAACGCGGTGACTAATGATGGTTATTTACAGTTGAGGAAGGTAAAGTCCAATGAATTCTTAGAATATATGCTACATATATATATGCTACAGCAAAAGAGTTAACTATGCTTTTATTATTGAGGCACTGGTTTGGGTAAAACTGCTAGCTTTCAAATGCAAGTAGCATCGTCTTCGTTTTTTTCTTTTTCTAGTATGACAGAAGCGAGTATCCTATTGGCGTATCCCTTTGGGAGTTTACAAGCACTCTGGGGCACTCTGAAAAGTGGCCGCATGTTTGTTTGGTAGAATTCGATTGGTCGGCCTACCTTCACTTTGTTATGAAGGTAGAATTCGACTGCCCTGACATTGAAGTGAGAGTGTGGCGCGATCTGGCCGGGAGGATGGATCATGTGATACAAGAGTTGCCTGCAGGTGACAGCGCGAGTGCGCATTTAAGAAGGGTCGCCGGGCGCGTAATACTTCATGCACGTTTGTTGGTGTTGTTTTTGATGGTTTCTGTGGCGAGTTCACATCTACGAAGCCATAAATCCAACATTGCGGGCTCTCTCAGCATCTGGAAACTCCGAGCCTGAGGATCAGTGAGGCCAACTAAATACACCGTAAAACCTTGGGCTTGTACATGCGATTTGTTTCACATCACCGCAAGCAAGTCCCATTCACTTAAGGTTATCTTTTTAAGCAGGAAGAGGCAATCTCACGGGGCCCATTTTGCATTGTACTGTCCATCATATTACAAATAGTAGCCTGTTTTGGAAAAGACAGGCCGAATATCTCACTTACATTATAGTGTTTGCTATGTATAAAGTGTCCATTAGTGCAGTTGAAAATTTGATATCACTATTTACTGTTTCATTTTCCTAGGGACAAAATACACTATCAAGAACCCATAGTGTCAATAAGTAATCTTGAAGAGAAACCAATCTGAGGCTTGCTTTTCAGGAACAGACAGATTACTGGCTGACCCCAGCATTCCAGCCTGCTGCCATCATAGGGGTGGCAGGTACAGCAACTTCTAGTACACCATCAGGGCCAGCTGCTGGCGGTAGTACAACACCTCGTCCATCCAGAAGAAAAAAGTCAGTACGAGGTCGTGTGGGCCCAAGCACTGTGCCTGTGTCCTTTCCTGTGGACTTCTTCGAACACTGCACAGCCATTCAGGATGTGGAATTTGGTGGAAATGACCTCCTTCAAGTCTACAATGCACAGCAGGTAAATTTAAAATTGAGGATTGTAATGTGATTGCAGTTCTAAAGGTGCACTTAGTGGAAAGTGGATGATCATTGTATTAGGTCTAGTAAAGCAAAATATGTACTGCCATTGTACTTGACCAGTTCTAACATAAGGGGCTGACATCTGGAGAACATCAAAACGATCTAGCGAGCCCACTGAAGGCTGCGGAGAGACGGGGATGATAAGAGAGCAAGATGATGTGTCCCATCATCAGTGCGCATCAGGTTCTTGAGCACATACATTTTCTTGTTTTCTTTCAACATGGAGTTTTTGTGTTGTTTTCTTCAGTGATATCAGAATTATGTGCATGGGAATGTGCGTGGTTTCAGTAACTATGCAGCTCACTATGTTAAAATCAGGCAGTGGTCACAAATTTTGTTCTTATAGCATGGTTATTGTGAGCAGGGCTGGGCAAAGATGCTTTGAAGTTGTGTTGCTTTACGATACAGGGTACTCATGCTAGAAGTGTCCGAGATACAGATACAGGGTATCACCTCAACAGTTGTGTCTGATACAATACTTGCCAATTGTTTTTTTATGTTAAATCGATACATTTGCAAAGTTGTTGTAGACCCACATACTGTAGTGAATACTTATGCACGAAAAAGTTGCCTGAAAATTGCCTTATGTAACCACTATAATTTCATGTGATTGAAATGACTGTTACTATGACAAAAGTTGTCTTTCTTGTTTAAATGACATTGGTTTACTTCTGAAAGAATTTACCGTAAAAACTGGAATATAGGTCAATTTTTTTTCAAATAAACACGATGAAAAGTCAACCCTCGTCTTATATACCTGTCATTGGCGGAAAAAAAAAAATGAGGAAGTCTCGCAACAATGGGCAGCTGAAGTCAAAAGCCTCCATTGCCATTGTGAGCATCAGCTGCGGCGCCGTTGGGCAAGGTTAGGCAAGGCCTACAGTCTACTAGCAACGCCGTTTTGCTTCGATTATCTTTGTCAGTCTGCTGTTTTCTTTTTTCAATTTCGCTCAGAAATGAGTGTTAGTTGATGGGAGTGTACAATAGGCTTTAAGAAAAAGGTTATCGAGTATGCCAAAGCGCACGGCAACCTGGCGACAAAACGGGAATTTCGTGCATCGGAGAAAAGCGTCTGATACTGGAGGAGCCAAAAGCAGCACCTCGCATCCAGCAGCAACCAAAAAAAACTTTCAGTGCACCTTGAACTGGAAATGCTACTCACCAAATTCGTCTAGGAGCTGCATGCAAGGTCGCTACGCGTGACAGCAGATTGCATTCGCGTGAAAGCTATTGAGGTAGCGCGTGACTCAGGGCTCACAAGGGCACAATTCAAGGGCTCGTCATCGTGGGTGCACCTATTGATAAAGCGGAAGGGCTTTAAAGGGGGACATGATGGGTCTTTAAAATTTTTTTTCTGTTTTTGGCTCAATCTTGACCAAACCTCACCATCTTGGACAGTTTTTCATGCTGATTTCAAATATGTAATTGTTTCTGAAATAGCTTCAGTGGATAAAAAGATATTAACATCTGTAATTTAATTAATTATGCACTTCATTGGGGGCTTTTTGGCAACTTAATCAAGCCAGATCCAAAAAATAAATGCATAGCCCCAATGCTGAGGGCTTTCTGTATGGGGTGATGCTATTTTTATTAATTTTTAGGCATTATATAGATAAGAAAACAGACCAGCACTTACAATGGATATTCTGTTCAATTTTCGCTAATTACTATCCATAATTGTAATTAACATTATGCTTCTAGAGTAATCAAAATAGCATTACCCCATAGGTAATGTTATTACAAATAAAATGATACCAAGTTTGTCATTCTCAATCAACAGTAACATATAAGAAAAACCCCTAAGGTTTAGTGTGGTGCAGAAAAACATCGAACTGAGAAAAACGCATTTAAAGTTTCTAATAACTGTAACTTTTGCTAAAGCGAAGCTAAAGCAATAAAAATGGCACCGTTGTATAGCTCTACATTATGTGAGTATGGCTGTACCAAATGTGTCAATGCACCTTCCCAAAATATTTGCCACAGCTCATTTAAAAACTGTGTACTGGCCAATGAATCAGTATAAGGAACCCAGTCTACAACTTTGTGGCTGTTCTAGTGCACTGAAAACCAAAGGAAGACACATGTTATATATAAAAACATCGCCCTTTTATACATAAAACACTATTTGAAGTAAAACACACATTTTTGTCCCAGACATCCTTACAATTCTACAGCATGCCAGGGCTGTATGCAGTGTCTCTTGCAGGCTTATGTCGCTTTGCAAGTGTTGCCTTTGTTGAACTGCTCTGCAGGTGCTCCCTCCGCGATTTGTGAAGCCTGGTTTTATCCTTTTCAAGGCTACGACGCATGAAGAGATTTCCTGCACTGTAGCCTAGCTTCTCAGCAATTGCTTCATTGCTCTTCGTGGCCCCCTGATTAAAGCGGCTGATGGCTTCAGCCACTGCTCTTTCTACGCTGCGCAGTGAGGCATGGGTGGTCTTGGGGACTTGTTGCCAAATTGTAGCGTGTAAGCTCTCACTAGGATTCTGGCAATAACAGGCACTTGCGCCAGCAAGTCGTCGTCTGAATGTGCTGCCTCCGCAATAACAGGCATTTCCGACAGCCCGTTGTCGTCAGAATGCGCTGCCTCGGCCATCTCCGGCGTTCTCGGCGGCGCGCAGGCCGCTCCCTTCTGCCGCGCATTCCACGCTCGCTTTCGTTTCCTGCCGAAAGCTTGACGAGTGTTCTTCTTCAGGCAAGCTTCCCAAGCCATGCCGGCGAAATGCAGAAAGACGTATACGTCGGCGACGTTGGTACACGAGCGGGTAGCAGACGAGATAACACGCACGAGAGCAGGCGCCGACGGAGCAAAACCAAACAAAAAAAAAAAAGAGCGAGCAACCGTGGCCGCGCCGCCGCGCCAGCCAATGGTAAGCGCGAGACGGGGGGGCTCGCCGGCGCGCGCGCGTTCTAGCCAATCAGCGGTCCGGCAGACGGCTTCGCAAAACGGGGGAGGGCAGTCGTTGTGTTGGAGCTACGCCATTTTGAGAGCCCGCAAAATGCGCACAAAGGAACCAGCTTCAAAACAAGCCCAAGATGGCGCCGATCCGCCGGCTGCTTCGCTGGCGGCGCGCGCGGGAAGTTCGAACAAATTTTCTGTTTTGCGGGTTGTTTTGCGACTCCCGTGATGGTTTGAAAATAGATTTTAACCTATTTTTTTATCGAATTCAGCGTTAATAATTTGAGGAGAGGTGCTTATAGGTTCAAAGATTCGAAAAATGCGTTTTTCTCAAAATCGATTTTTTTGGCCATTTTTTACTTTTCTAAGACCCGCGTCCCCCCTTAAGGGGGGACATGGTTCTTAGGGCTCTCTCATTCATTTTTGAACCAAGTGTGACACAAGTTGGCATGCTTACTTAGTTCTCCGGATTCTAAAAATGTAGTTATTTTTTCTGTAGCTTCATTAGTTAATTAAATAATCAAGATAACTATTTCTATTGTTCTTACCATAATAGAAAAATAACCACATGTCAAAAATTTATAAATAACATAGGGATTGACAGTAGAAAGCATAAGACATGCAACATAAGAAGCACTTTTTTGAATGGGTCATTATTTCTTACCTTACAGTACACTAAACTTAATTTCGCCGTTCCGAGGGAAAAATATCATGGCACACATACTTTTAGTCAGTTAATATGCACCGGGAATGTAATAGGACTGATTGTTTGTACGAGCGTGTCATTTCTTCTAGTCCTGTAGCAAGTTGTCGCCGTGTGTTCGTCTGCCGCGAGGCCGCTTATCAGTTCGGTCACTGTACTGACGGCGATATGCGACAAATGTGCGTACGTCATCGACAATCCGTCGAATAACGCGGTGATGTTTTCTGGCTTGTCCAGAATAAGTTACCCGTAAGTGTCGCGAACCAAAGTTGCTCCCTCGCTCATCAATTTCGAGGCTACACGAGTGCTGAGGTGTTAGTTTCCTTTTCACGTAAGACTGCCACATTTTCGAGCGGAGATCGCGACAACGTTGCGAACACGTCGTTAAAAGCAGTCTACCTGTTGCGAGTAGCCTCCATTGCGAGGGCCGCGAGCATGTTCACTGTGAACGGATTGACTTTCTGTTGTTGGTCGACGCGCGGCGTACTCCACTCTGACGACTTGTCGCGCAGTTCAAGGTCCTTTCGTCAGGCGGGGGGAACGACAACTTCGGTGGGTTTAGCAATAAGACTGCACTTCCGTTCTGTCACTGCAAACATTGATATCTCTGATAGCTTCACTTCTGCTTTTTACTTGCCGTCCTCTAATTGATGAGGCTGCAAAACACAGCCGTTCTCAGTAACGTTGTCGGCAACTAACGGGCTCGTGCGCGAGTTAGGCCTACACCGGTGACTCGGCGACCGTCGTTGACCGCGTCGAGTTCGTTATCCTCGTTGTCCTGAGCCATAGCGGGGATCTTTCTGAAGTTCACAGCGAACGAACCACCGCCACACCCGCTTCACTAATTACTGTAGCACGGAACTTCTTTACTGCCGCAAGCAGTCAGTAGCACCATGACAAAATGGCGCATGTCCGTGCGCGTCACGATGGTGAAGCAGACGCCGAAAGCGCCCCTTGGCCAGTCGGATGCCTAAATTTGGTCGCATGCCCCAAGCAGCCAATTGAATCGCGCGCTAGTGCTTCTCGATGACGCGTTTTTGCTAAAAAAAACAATGAGCAAGGTGAGCCAGCGGTAGTGGGAAATTGAAGATGAAGAACAACCCTTCCAAACGAGACCAAGATGAACACAATAGCTCGTGTGTAACGGCAACAGTTTGGCGCGGAAAAAGGCACGATTTTAGCGTCAATTTGCACTCACATTCATCTCACAGGGATGTTATAAATTGATTTTGCGCCAGAAATAATGACGCGAGAAGCTAGAAACTTCTCAGATAAGTGCAAAAATAGGCGCAGATTTGGAAAATGTCAGCTGCAAAAAAGTCAATTTTTTTGCGAT